GGGGGGGGGGGGGGGGGGGGGGGGGGGGGGGCGTGTGGTGTTACACGCACGTCAGAAAATATGTAATAATAACTGTATGTTACGTAGTTCAACTCATTCGCACATCATCAGAGAATATGTAATACTAACTGTATGTTAGGTACTTGAACTCACTGATTGATATCATTATTGATGATAATGACGCAGCACACGTTTTACGCATGCATGCGACGATGGCACACGTTTTACGCATGCGATGATGGCCGCAAAAAAAGCATCTTCCACGCGAACGCCCGCTCGACCTCAGACGAAAGCAGTACATTTTGCTCACACGAAAAGTCTCTTCTTAATTCTTCGGAGTATACTGGTTGTATTTTCATCGCGTTACTTTCTCTTTTGGGAAGCCTCAGGCCTATCCACTTGAAATCAATGTAGATCATGTCCAGTGGGCGTTCTCGCAGCGCATTTTGTCCGGCCGCAGACATGCGGTGGCAACTGGCGTACGTCGTAATATCCTCCTCGTCACCTGTTGACGCTGGCCCCGGTACTCTACCTGCTGCCGCTGCTGTGCACATGATGGGACCACCTACGCGGGATTTTAAGATCTATATAGCAAATAATAGGGAGGGGGTACGCAGACCCTAACCCTAACCCGAATCCACGGATTGAATACTTTATCCCATATCCATCCCTAATCCTAACCCTAACCCAAAAGCACGGATTGAATACTTTATCCCATATTATTGCTTAATCGTTTTTGCTGCGTAGACTACTGTTATCTGTACACACACCCTTGAAAACCATCCCGTACGTAGCATTATGCGTCTGCGAAGAGTGGACTACTGTTTGCANATCGGGTGAGACTGTTTTGGTGATGTATAAACTTCACGGGAGGTAGACGACCGTCCTTCACACGGACGAAAGAGGGAGTGCTCAAAGAGCGACTCCCACAGCAAGGAGGGGCCCCGTGAATCATCACGGTGTCCCCTACGAAACGGCAATCTTACCAGTCTGCGTGACAC